GTCATGCATGCTAGATTAGGCTAGGTATTCATGGTTAGGACTAGAGTGGGCCTGATTTGTGATGCCTTAAAGGCATAGTTGTCACTTTCTAATATAAAAGGGCAGAATTGTCATTTACTACCTAAATGATAAGTTTAATTTATATTTGACAGTAAAAAACATAATTAAAAAATATAACTGACAAAAATTGATAAATGACAGTTTTTCTATTAAAATGACATATTTGTCATTTTTATAATATAAAAGGGCAGAGTTGTCATTTTCTAATATTAAAGGGTGGAATTGTCACTTTCAACCTAAATGATAGCTTGAATTTATATTTGACAGTAAAAAACATAATTAAAAAACAATATAGCCGATAAAATAAGGAACAAATGAATAAAAACATAAAAAGTGTATCAAAATATGAATATTTGAGTAAGAATATTAGTGTAGATAACTCTGTTCGAAACATTAAAGTGTGTATGATTTTTTGAGTAAAATAGAATAAGAAACAGATGAATAAATAGCATGTTACTTCTGAAAAGTTATTTTAAATGGATAATTTATGAAAAAAACTTCTACCAAATTAATAAAAACATAAACAAACGAATTAAAACAGAAAAGATCAATCAATAAACACAATATATTCGGAAAAGGTAAAAATGGTAAAACTGAATAAAAAATAAAATAAAATAAAAACTTTAACAAAATATGAATTTTTGAGTAAAATAGAATAAAAAACAGATGAATAAATAACATCGTACTTATGAAAAGTTTTTTTAAATGGATAATTTATGAAAAAACTTCTACCAGGTGAATAAAAACATAAAAACTGTATCAAAATATGAATATTTGAGTAAGAATAGTAGTGTAGATAACTCTGTTTGAAACATTGAAGTGTGTATATTCTGACAAGAAAAACAATCCCTATTTTGGTAAAACTGTTTTTCAGAAAAATTCAAATGATAAGTCAGAAACATAAACATTAGTTTCTTGACTATAAATTATTCATACAGAAAGACAGGGAAATATAGATATGTAAATTAATGATAACTAAATAAACGATATAAATGAGTTGCAATCGAAATGAAGCACAAACCTTTTATTATTATCATCGATTGTTCTTAGTTTTTTCTGCTCCATGGAAGTCATCAGAGCTCAGAGAAAATGTCGTCAAAGATTGTTTGAAATATAATATTTTGTGGAAGTAAAACCGATTATAGGAACTGATATATGCATATGCATTCATTTTGAACCTGATTTTCAGGGATTTAAGGTATATTTGAATTAGAAGATTGGAAGATAATTGACCAGCATCAATTTCGGCTCCTGATTTTAAGGGATACAGGATCTTCAATATGGAATATGGAATTTTCAATTTTAAAATTGTTTGGGATATGGATTGACGAATTGAAGGAATGTGTATATGGGCGGGAAAGTTTTTTGTTTATTGCTTCTTGTAATACCACGTGGCAGACTTGTAGTCTAAGAGTTGGACAAGTGGATTTTAGGAGAGATTTTTATTAGAATTAGAGATTAGGAGAGATGATTCCAAAAGGTCTGAATCAAATAAATATATTTGTTTAATACTATTTATATCGATTTTTGTAAATGACAATTTATTAATATTATTAGTATTTAAGATTGTGTTATAACAATTAATTTTTTTATGATATATTATGAAAATAATCATGGACTTGAAAAATATATGTTTTATCTAATGTTATTAACATGTATTTTTGTCAAAAAAAAAAATTACTATAAATGATATAAAATAAAATTTAATGTATAATAAAACAAATAAATCAATAATATATAATTAAAAACAATTTATCAATTCATTACATTTTAGTTTTTTAAGACTCATTTTTATTTGTAAAAGGCCATGAGATGTTTTACATCAGCAGTCCAAAGAACCCTTGTTACAACACAAATTCAATCTGCGGGGGTGTTTGGCTTATCTTTTGAGAGGCCAAAAGTCCTTTTAGGAAAAGTTGTAAAAAGTCAGGGTTTTCGTGACTTTAACAAAAAGTTGATTTTTCTTATATTCAAAATCCAAAAGTAGCTTTTAAAAGTGTTTTTACCAAACATATTTTATCTTATATCCGAAAAAAAAATAAAAAATAAAAAAATTTAGCCGAGCCAAACACCCCCTTCGTCATCGTCTCGCCATTAATTTCAAAACTATATCAAACCAGACGATCTATCGCCTGTAAATTCTTCTTATTTCTGCATAAACCCACCAATTTCCTTTAAGAACTCGGGCCGAAAAGTTCGTGCATCATCCTTCGCTTGAGGTTTGTCTTCGCTTTTGTTTCTCTCTTTTCTTTTTGAGTAGATTTAAAATTTCAACATATTGGAACATATTTTGTTTAAAATTAAGCTTCATTCGCATGCCTCACTGATTAGGTTTTCAGGTTTTTGCGTTTCTTGGGACATCCTGGCCTTATTTGAACAGCCTTTTTATTTGCACACCACATGTTTGTTGTTTTGCCTCGCTTCATTCTCCCTCCCTCGCACACAAACACACAAACAGTTTTATCAGTATATACATATATATGCCTACTTACGTGAAATGGAACAGTAATTGCATCTTTATTGTTGTATCTAAATAGGGTTTTTGGGAGGTAAGACAGCATATGAAATTTGTATGGATATACTTTTTTTTCAAAAGATGGAAATACTCACTTGTTACCACAATGGCATACTGACTCACTGATTTATGTATGAGATGTTTGTTAATGTAACTGCGATTGGAATACTGATTTAAGTATGATTGATTGTGTTGCTGTTTTTTGAGTAAAAGGAGAAGATGAACAGGCAGACACCATATGGTGATGCAAGTGTGAACAGATATGGTGGTTCTCAATCTCATGCGTCTGCACAGAGAATGCAACAACATGCTCAAACACCTCAATTTCCATTTCGAGGAGATGGGCGACAGCAGTGGAATACAATTACAAACCCACAGATTGAATTAAATCCAATGTCCCCTCATTCATATTCCCAAGGTAAGTATTTCCTTCATCAATAATTCTGATTTAAAAGATGACCATTTAGTTTTGGTGATGGATACTTAACTTATATGCTTTCTTTTTGTACTTGACAATTTGTGAAGGAGGTCATAAAGGAAATATGAAGATCCAGTCCCAAGAAAGTATGGGAAATCAAAAGTTTAATAATTATGAGAATCAAGGAAATAAGGAAACAAGACTACAGTCACATGAGCAAGAAATGGAAGTTGGGTATGAGGACAACACTTACACTCCTTCTCAATTAAGTTTTGAAGGAATGGAGCAGAGATTCCAAGATGAGATCATGAAATTAATAAAAGATCTAAGCAATGCCGAGGATGCAGAAAATGCTAGACACAAAGAGGTTACTTTATTCTGTTATTTCATATCTTATACCTTACACCCGAAAATATTTATACATTCTAAAAAGTAAAACCCCTTTCAATTTTCATCATATAATTAATTGTAAGAGTTAAATTACAGTTTTAGTCCCTGTGTCACCATTTTGCATGTTTTTTTCAGAGAATGGTGGAGATCAATATGCGATACCAAGAGAATCTGTGTTCACTTAGAGCCCAACATGCGTCACGAGTAGGAGAGTTTGTTGGCAAGGAATCAGAGACACGGTTGCATCATTATCAACAAGCTGCAAATGCAATGACAGAAAGGGGCCCACCTGGGGGGATGGCTAGGGAAGCACGTAGGCGGTATGACAACTATGGAGCAATACAAGATGAGTCTTCTTACAGAGAGTATCAGCATCAGCATCCTCAGTATCGTGAACATTCACGGGAACCCATGACAAGTCAAGGCTATGAATCAAGGGTTCCGCACCCTCATGGCCGAGTTTATAACAATTCTGGTGCTCATTACTAATGTCAAATTAGACTAAGTCTGTGTTGTGTTGGGCGCGCTTCAGCTTATAAGCTATTTTTGTGGTCTCACCACACTCTAAATTGCAATAAGCTTAAAAAATAAGCAAGCTTATGCGCGCAAAACACAGCCTAATTTGAACTTTTGCTAGCGTGTAAGCTGTTATGAGTTTGGGGTGTTGCTAGATTATCAAGCTTTGTACAATGCATGCATGAATACTCCTTTCTCATCTTGCGGACTTGCCTTAAACAAGGGCATTGATTTGAGCCGGGTTACCCATAATGGGGCCCAGGATTGGCTATGCAAAGCAGGCCTAGTTCTGGTCCAAGAAAGGCCGACTGGTTACCACATTTTGAAACTGAGCTTGTTAAAAAGCCTGGCCTCGTTTAGTAGCCTTTTTTTTTTGTCTTTTAAGTGTTTTTCCATGAAAACCCTTCATTTAGTGTTTTAATCAATGCTTGGCTTGTTTGTTACCATTTTACCCCTAGGTGTACTTATATGGGAGTGTTTTGGTTTCAACCCATGTTAAAGGAAAATTTTCATATATGCCCTAAATAAACTATAAAGTATCATATTTGTCCTGATTAATTTTTAAATATCACATATGCCCTATTTAAACTTCCTAAATATCATATTTGTCCAAATCATTTTTTAAACATTTTTAACAATTTTTTAAATCGTTTTAATTATTAAAATATCTTAGATTGACAATATTACCCTTACTTCGGAGCTGGTTGTATTTTCTCTCCCTCTTACTAAAAAATATCCATTGTTCCATGATCCATCTCATCCTTAAAAAAGGCAGATGAACAATTCCGTCTGTTTAAACTTTTTTGGGTCTGAATCCTTTATTATATTTGGGCTGCTCTTTGAATTCTATGGCACTACTGCAATTGCTTTTTAATTTCTATTGATTTTCCATGGTTTATCGCTGCATCGGTGTGCTCCGAGATAAAAAAGATGGGTTTTAATTTATCTCCTTTGGTTTTTTGTTCCTATGCAGTTACTTTGGATATGTGAAAAAAAATTAAAAAAAAATGTGTCTAATCAATGCTTCATCAAAAGCTTTACTTTTCACAGTCCATTAATTCACAATTGGTTTTAACAATGTGAGTTGTAAAATGAAGGGTTTGCTTGAGTTGTAAAATGGCTGTTTGCTTGTTTTTAAAATAAAAGGGTAAAAATGGTAAATCATATTTTAAATGTAGATTTATAATAAGGGTATAATAGTTATTTAAAAAAAATCATGATTCAAAATGATTATAAATATTTAAAAAAAGAGTTTAGGTAAATATGATATTTAAGAAGTTAATAAAGGATATATATATATATATATATATATCTCAGTTAAAAGATGCTCTCAAACTATACTTTTAGCAAATTTCTGGTGTCTAAAGATAAAAAAATTATTAAAAAAAGAGTAATCAAAAAAGCAGATTCTGATAGGTTTAAAAAGTTGGGTAATTTAAAAATAAAAAAAAATGCTAAAAAACCGTAGATCTGAGCTTGAGGTTGGACGTGGATACAGAAAAACCTTGTAAATCTAAAGTAAAAAAGTTTGAACGAAAAAGATACAAAGCCGTAGAAGCATTACGGCTCTAAATTTGGTAGGTTTTAGGTTTGTATGTTTTTACAGTACAAAGCAAGAAATATATGACTTGGCACGTTGTTATGAAATCTGGAAAAGCAGCCCTTCTAAAAAAAACTTGCTCCAAAAATGAGATATAACATCATATCCTTCGCTAACATCTATTATATTCTATAATACCACAATGGTACATAAAAACGCAACAAATCTTGCCTTTCAGACATCTCACCAAGTAAAGTAACTTTTTTATTAAGTTTGTCACTTCTTCCTGTTCTTGCTGTTTCTAACTTTCAAAATCCTTCTACCAGACTTGTCACCTCCACCTGACCCCAATGAAAAACTTCCTCCACCACTAAACTCTGCACTACCAGACAGCTGAAAATGATTATTCTGAGATGGTGTTTGGTTTGTCTGGAAAGGATTCTGTGGTGGTTGGCTCGTCTGGCCACCAAACTGGAAGGGAACCGTTGATGGTGTCGGGGTGCCTGAACCAAACATGAAACCGGGAGTTGGTGTGGGTGTGGCACCAGCATGTCCAAATGCAGGAAGTGAAGGAGAAGGACTGGGTGTGGAGTCTTCAGCCATACTGTCTTCCATACTCATCTGATCATTGCTGTTGGGTGAAGATCCAAAAACAGGGGTCGAGTTTCCAAAAACAGATGTAGATTGAGCTGGGAAAGCTGAATTTGTAGCAGAGAATGAAAACAGGGAAGATCCTGTAGAAGCATTAATAAAAGGACTAGGAGAAGTGGATGTTGAAGATGAAGATGCAGATGCCCCGAAGGAAAATGTTGTAGGAGGTGAAGACTTGGGAGGCTGCCAGGCCGAATTAAGACCAAAACTAGGTGTTATGTTGGTGGTGGAGCTACCAGATTTTATTTCTGATGTGGCAACAGTGGAACTCAGACCAAAACTAGGAACAGAGGAACCAAATAAGGAACCCCCTGAAGTAGACGACGGGACTGCGGTAGTCCCACCAAAAGATGTCTGAAATCCACTGGTGCCGCCATTGAAAAGATATCCCTGATTGTTGGTGGCTGCTGGAGAACTGAAACCAAACATGTTGTTACCTCCTCCGGTGGTGGTGGTTGGAGTACCAAAAGGTGAGGTGGTGGTGGTGGTGGTTGAAGTACCAAAAGGTGAGGTGGTGGTGTCAGATTTTGGTTCTGCATTGGTCTCTTTTGGAGGTTCTGCAGATTTAGTTGAAGTGATTGCAGACCCAAAACTAAAGACAGGTAAGGCAGGGGCAGGAGCAACACCACTGGCGGCTGACATGGTGGTGGATGGCAAGGAAGCAGTAGTGCTAACACTGAAAAGGTTATTTGTAGAAGAAGCTGTAAAAGGAGAGGAGGGAGCAAATGTAGATGGGGTTGAAATTGAACCATTGGTAACATTTGTATTCTTGGCACCAAATGAAAAAACACCACTTGTTGATAATGATGATGGTGAAGATTGTGATTTATTATTGATCAGAGCATTGCCATTGTCATCTTTTTCGGATGCTGGGAATTGGACTTGATTGCTTTCCTTATTAACTGAATTAAACATGCTGCACAGCACCAAAAGAAAACGACACATGAGATTCTCATATTATATGCAACAAACAACATTCAGTTTTTGCATAAAATTATTATTACCTGGTTGAGCCAAGTGGTTTTGCATCTGTGGCAGCGTTTGGTTTGAATCCTGAAGGCTCATTAGCAGAAAACAAGAATGGTGGCACGTTCTCGGTAACTTTAGTGGTACCACCAAATGTTGGAAAAACTGTTGCTTTCTTCTGTGGAGAAACAGTATCTGTTATTGCAGCTGGCTGAGGCTGAGTGTTGTTGTTACTTGCAGGCAAGTTAAATGCCACCTTCTTATTAACAACAGAACCATCGACAGATTTAAAACTGGTTTTTGGAAGAGATTTAGCATCGTCAGTCTTTTGTGTTCCTTGAATTTTCTCAACTGGAGGAGTTTGAATGACTTCAGCAGAAACATCCTTGTTTCCAAACACAGATGTTTCCGGTTTCTTGTTTTGACCAAATGGGATGGTAGATACATGTCCATTAGAATCCACTACCTCCTGATAATCCTTCACAAGACAAACATAGCACTTAAGAGCATAATTTTGTAAAGACATCACATGATACATATGTTGAATACAGATGATATAACAAACATACCTCATGTGCACTTATCTGGAATCGCTTCTTCTGGGGAGGCTCTGCTGGCAGCTTGAATGTAGAATCTGTTGGTCTGTTATCTCTTATAGATACACCAGAATTCCCATTCATAGTGCTCAGAACATTTCGAGGAACAGCAAACTTCTTAGGCCCATTTTCTTCAACTTTTTCTTTACCTTTACTCTGGGTCTGGGAGGTGGTTGACTCACGAGCATCAGGAAACAAACTTTCTGGTTTTTTATCATCTTCAGAACTTGACTTAAGTTTGGGTGAAGAATCTAGTTTCTCTTGTGGTGTCAAGGGCGATTTCTCACTCATTCGAGTAAGCCTGGATCCTGGAGACTTCTCCTTTGGGCTCAATCTCTCAAGTTGTTCCAATATTTTTGTAGCCATTTGAGTTGACTTTGTAGGGACAGATGCATAACCTAAACTAGACCTGCTTGTCTCCCCGTTTTCCTCAATTGCCTTGAAGCTTTTAGAGTCAGCTTCATTTCTTAAAAGCAGTTTCTGCCTGAATTCACTTGTGTTTTTTGAGAGAGGACTTCCTTGAGAAAGAAGATTAGCTTTCTGTCGAATCCTACGCACCGGGCCTCCAGACCCAATATCATCTAGCACAGAGCTCCTACGCTTAGAAGCCTGAACCAAAACTCAACAAGTCAGCATAAATTCGAATGTTACACAACAAATAGATTATTAGATCATATATATAGATGGATACCATCTTGCTTGACTCAATTGACCCTTCTTGTTCCCAAGCAGGCTGAGACAATGGCAATGATGGTGAATTCATGCCCTGAAATGAAATCAATTGCAGATATTAAGATACTGCAAACAAGGTCAAAGGGTATCTAGAGTGGTTGGTTTATTTATACCTTTTGGCCAAAAGTTGAAGATGGTCTGGAATAAGGTGTGCGTGCCATGCTGTATATTGCTGATCTGCCTCTTGATCTTGGGGTTGTCAAAAAACCATTTTCAAGACCCTTGAAGGTTCCTGTAGTTCTTGGTACAAGTGACGTGATGGGTGTTTTGGGGAGGATTGCTGTGGTATTAAGCAATGCTGAATCTTGTCTGGCTGCTTGGCTGCCAAATCTCAGGGTTGATGGTGACACTTTGGGTGCTCTTGTACCCATGTAAGCCCTTGCAAGCTCAGCTGGTGAAGCAACATCCTCTTCAAATGTCTGTAGACAGCATATATTTACATCATATCAGTACAAAGCATAAACCTTTTTGGCAACATCTTTAAAACAAACAAAGGAACACACTCATACAAGTACAACTCACTCTTGAAGTGACAAAAGGAGTTGAAGTAATAGCATGAATATTTTCCCTCTCTTCCACATGCTTATTAAGTGGACTACTTGTGGATGCTTCAAGCCTCAGAAACTGAGATGATGGGCTGGGAAGCTTTGCTCTATCCCCTTCATCGTCATCTGAGTTAGTAGCTTTTGCATGCAGCAAAGCTGTCAAATGCTCGATTTCAGATCTGAAATGGTATATCACATCAATTCTGGCAAAACAGAAAGAAGGATAATGCTCATAAACTAAACAACAAACCTAGTAAAAGTCTTCTGTTTCAGCATATTCTCAAGCTCTGATATCTCAGTGGTAGCAGAGATGCTAGCCAAATTCCCACCTTCATCGGTGCTAGGATCCGGTTCTTCAAGGGTCTCTGGTCACAAGAGAACTTTTGTAAGGGACATTGCGAGCATTAGAAAGGGATAAAGCAGTGTGATATAAAGAACATGTAATATGGATGGCATTACCAACATGGAGACCAAATAAATGTAGAGCACAAAAAACCAATTTCATATTAGAAAATATAAATCCTCAGAAAATATTGGAACTTAAATGGAATGGAGTTGCAGAGTATGGCATAGTATTATGAATTTATGATGAAGACTTGCTTGGTTGTCCATATTTAACCTGAATTGTATTATAACAAGAGATATGTTTTACATTCATTACTAGATAAAAATATTATGATCCATAGTTGATATTTAGTTAATTACTTCTAGTATATCAAATTCCTCCAACTCCCCTTACCACTCTATCCAGTTTATGTCTTGCTGGAGCTTATGAAGAGAATGTAATGAGCCCAAATAACAAATACACAGGCATCAGTGATGGTGTGCAGTGAAACATATGGTAGTGAAATACAGATATACAGAAAACAAACAGTCTTCGAATGAAGTATATGGATAATGATATTGTGACGGCCTTTCCACTTGCAAGATATATTTTTCATAGTCGTTATCATAAGAAAACCCTAATCCTTTGTTTAATGGAGACCTTATGAAACTGAGCAATGTTAAAGAGACCAACAAACAAAAAAATTTCAGTTCCACTCCCCTACCAAATTTTCCCATTCACCACTACAAACTTAATACATTGAAGAAAAATTGTTCCCATTCGGAGACAAATCACCTCTAAAAACTAACAAATTGTATAAGAAGCCTTCAGCAATGCTAAACCCGATCCAATCAAGACGCCACCCATCAGCAGCTCAGTTCATACAAAATAAAAACAACTCAATTTTAAAGGTATGCCAACGATTACTAAGATGAGTTCTTTCTAAACCAATATTAAGCCTACGCAGCTGAAAATGCGGCAGCAAGGGAACACACCATGTCGAGCTTATAAGAAGTGACTCTAAAGATACGCCCTTTATATGGTAAAAACATAAGCAATATAAAATCTGAGCAAATAAAAGATCAGCAATCAGCCAATACAACCAAATCAGGCCTAAAGTCACACGAAACATATATAATTCCGACAACGATCATACAAAAAAAATCTGTACATCCACAAATCCCAAAAATAAATTCAAATCGCAAGAAACTGAAAAAAGCAATCTAATTGTAACAAATATATTGAACCTGGCGGACGCGGTGCAGCGATGGAAGGAAGCCGCTTACGAAATACGCCGAAGAACCTATCAGCCCCAGCGTGTATGAGCCTAGACGCGGGGTCTACGAGTTTCGCGAAGAGGCTAGGGCTCTTGTTCCTGAGTGCGGTAGAAGGTCGATCGTACGGTGTCGCCAGACCACTACGCCGAATAGGCTTCTTCCGAAACTTCCCCCCGGCTCCGCCGCTTTGGTATGGGGTCGCACCGTCGCCCGCCGTCGCCATAGGAGAAGCTCGAGCTGTCGAATGAGGATTTGCGTAGAGAGAGAGAAAGTTGAGCGGTGGAGAGAGAAAGAGTGGGAAATTAGGGTTTTTATCTGAGCGCAGACACAAATACGGCTTATGGATTTAATTTTTATATTTTTTTAAAATGCTTTGAAGGCAGGGAGCGTTGGAGAGAGAAAATGGGAGGCGAATATTCCGGTTAAAGTTACAAAAAGACCCCTTAAATTAATATTAGTTACATAAAACACCTCTTTGTAAAATTCCCTTTAGTTATGGTTCAATTTCTCTACAAACTTTCTAAACTGTTTTTTTTTAATACCACAACTTACATCATAGGAAGCGATATCGTGATATTTATCATCGGTCATCCACTTAAAAGTCAACAATTTTTTAATATTGTAGGGGTGATAAACACGATATGTAAAAAAAAGTAGTTGATAGTCAATGGTTTATGTATAAATTTTCGTCCAAATATTTTCTTGTCTATGTTAAACGAGTGTTAGATGTTTTATCCTATGATTTATTATACATAAGCTATGTGTCACTCATAATAGACGTATCTAGAAGGAAGACGATTTACCTTGGAGCAATTCATGACATATTCAAGCTTCAAGTTATCCCTTGTATAGCACATGTGGAAACTAAAATCATAAAACATCCATGTGGATTTGTTCCAATTTTACGGAACTTCATATCTCCCAATACCCTATAAAAAAATATCCATGTTTTTTCCAATCATTCAATAAATGGATACTTTTGAGGCTTTGTATACGAGTCACTGGCCTAAATTTTTCTATAAACGTGTGATTAAATTGGAGAGTAAACAATAAAACTCAAAGTTAATTAATTTTTCTTTATCATCTTAAAAAATGGTTACCAATATAAAATGTTTGAATTGGATAAAATACCACAATGTTGTAAATAAAAGTATAATGCAAAAATGTAATAGTTATATTTATATAATTAAATTAAGAATTTGTTTTTTAATAACATTGAAATTTATATAGTTAAAATATATTGGTAACAAACAAACGGTTCCATCTCCCGTGGAATATAAATGATCTACTGAGAATGAATCATTAAAAAATGTTCAAAATGTTTGAATTAGATAAAATAACACAAGGTTGTAAAATAAAAGTATAATGCAAAAATGTAATAATTGTATTTATATAATTAAATTAAGAATTTGTTTTTAATAACGTTAATAACATTGAAATTTATATAGTTAAAATATATTGGTAACAAACAAACGGTTCCATCTCCCGTGAAATATAAACGATCTACCGAGAATGAATCATTAAAAAATGTTCAATTCATGTGTAAAAAATAAGTATTATTTTCCATGCATTTCAACTTACTTCATATTAAACAAATTTATTCATTAAAATCATATTTTGACTTGATATACTTACATAGTCAATTTTTTATTTTTATTTTATTATAAAATAATCGTCTAAATTGCTGAAAAAAACACTCTGGAAATTGTGAGGATACCTTTTCTTACAAGATATTCATTAATTTAGCAAAAAATAACGATTATACTTAAATTTATAAATAACTCACCAAAATAATATAGTTTTTACAAGTTAAATGACTAAAATAAATATTTCTCAAAAATATAAACAAATAAAGGTCTAGTTGAAATGTATCTTAACCATTTTAATCATACCTTATTTTGTCTATGTTTGTTATAAATATTTATCTTTACCAAATTTCAACACATTTTTAAAAAAATCGTACTTTTCAATTCCTTGTGAATTTATTTAATAGTTTGTGTCTTTTAGTTTACTTGCAAAAATTAATCCTTGTGAATTATCCATGTTTTTTTGTTTATTCGTGAACCCACAACTAAAATTCACGATTTTCTGTAATAAATAGTTTTTAATGTCATAAAAAATATTCTCGCAAATTTATTAACTTTTTTCGCAATTTGGTGGTGATTTTATTAAATGTTGTCTTGCCAAGTTAAACATACTAGGACAATGGAATTTATGCAAACCTTGGTCGCATAATTGACAATAGGTAATATCGTACAGGGAGCAATATGTAAATTGGTAAAACCGAAAACTTTTCCCTCCCATTACATCCCATGGCGGGGAAGTTTTGTTGGTTAAACTTTTTAGCCAAAGCATATTTTAAGAATGAATGGAAGTGTTTTTTCAAAAGTGGTTTTGCAGGAAAAATAAAGTCTTTTATGAATATTTATATATCATTATTACAATTCTTTTAAAAAAATAAAACAAGGTACCAATAATATGAATTTCATGGATATGTTTTACAATTTCTTATTTATTGAAAAGCAATTTAACTATTGATTGATACTCAAATATCTTTTTAAAAGTCAGTATTTTTCCCAATCCTATATTTATTATAAGATGAAATAGGTATGTTTCTAACGTCCATATTTGGTGCACATTGTTACGTCTTGATTTCTTTTTCTCGTCCCTTTATATAAAAAGACAAATATATATGATATGCGTGTGTAATAAAGAAGTTTACTTATAAAGATAATATGTCTTTATCATTTATACCATGTATGTTTATGGTTTTTTTTTTCCTTTTTTTTTAATGAAATGTTTTACATTTAATGTAAAAAGAACAGCTCATTAGAAAAAGAAATTAAAAAAAAAAAGTTGGATTTGTATTAAATCCTAACTATTTATAAGTCTTTCATCATTTATTTTTCTTTTATTTTAAGGTTTGTCCAAGGTTTTATCTTCAAACCGAAAACTAAAGCCCAGACCAAATCATATCTTGATACGAAGTTGTTCTGATAGCCTATATAAATTCTTTACTTGATTAATTATTTATAATACCTCTAGTTTCCATCGCAGTCCAATTATTTATGTTAGATATAAAGTTCTAGATTCAATACTCACACAGAGAAATGAACAAGAATCATATCATCATTACTCTCTATCACATTCACTTGTATGTATATAAGACCAATATAATTTGTGTAGACTTGCAGAAACAGTTGAACTTCAAAACCGCAAGAGTCCAACACCCGAATCCCGATTGGTATAACAAACAACTGTTTAATCCTATATCTTCGTATGATTTTCTCAACAAATAACCATTAATAAATAAACAAGAAAGAAAAAACGAAAACCTTTTATGTTCATAGTTTTAGTGCTTCTCTAAACTTAATGCTGAAACTAGTATCTAAGCTTTTCTTAGCACCCACATTCACATTGGCATGTCCTTGCATCATCGCCACAAACTCGTTGTAGTCTATGCGCCCATCCTGAAAAAACAAAAAAAAAAAACAAATCAAAGATGATTATGTTCTACCATGAACAAAACAAGTTTTACAAGGTTATTTTCGATGACAATGATCAGAAGGGTATTCATGTCTTTTCATTAACAAAAAAGTCAAGAGCAAGTACTTTTTCCACCGTTTTGGATGGGACCAAAAAAACAAATTTTGTCTCATACACATCAGTCTTGGACTCTTGTCCTAGTATGCAGACCACAAGACTGTGATTTTCTGTCATGTCATGTCATGTCCTGTTATCTTACGTTAACATGACAAACAGAAAGGGCAATAAGGAAGTTACATTGTCTTGGTCAACATCTTGAATCAACTCTTCAAGGTGAGCATCTATGCCAAATTCCTCACAAGCATGTTGAAGCTCATCGGCAGTAATGTAACCACTTCCATCTTTATCAAAATAAGAAAAGGCCGCAAATAAATGATTTTCTTTCTCGATTTTGTTCATATGCAATGTTGCAGCAACAAATTCTCCATAATCAATTGTTCCACTATTATCCACATCTGCCTGGGTTCACCATGCAATCATAATCAAATATTTTTTTTCAACATTTTTCCATCTAAAATATATTGTAATAAATATTTGGTCTTACTGCTTGCATAAGATCGTAAATTTCTGACTCATTAAGATTAGCACCAACTCTTTTTAATCCATCCTTAAGTTCATCAAAAGTAATTTGACCACTGTTATCAGTATCAATCATCTCAAACATCTGTTTCAGTCCAGCTATTTCTTCTTCCGATAAGCTCTCCGCTATAACCTACATGATATTATTATATTATATTATATTATATACTTATATACATTATTATATACATTATTAATTGAATATTTGAACATACCCTAAGAGCCATTTTCTTGAGCTTGTTCATGGCTGAAAATTGTTTCATGCGACTTAGAACTGCAGAGTCAAGAGGCTTGTCTGGAGCCACACCATCAACTTGAACCCAAGGATGGCCTAAAAAAATTCAATTAGTTAGAATATAACTTATTAAACTAAAGAGATTAATTATAAATAGTATTTTAGTCTGCAAATTGAAGGCTCACATAAAACTTCATGTGCAGTTAATCTCCTTTTTGGGTCTCGAATAAGCATTCTTCTCACAAGATCTTTTGCTCCATCAGAAATACTTGGCCATGGATCAGATGTGAAATCAAGATCACCATGAAGAACTTGTTCAAATATTCCTTGCTCTGTTTCTATATATCCATCACCAAATTATAACAATTAATATAAAATTTGGTTATGGTAAATTTTAATATTTTTATCACAATTTAACACAAAAAAACTCATCGAACGTTAAAATTGATGAATACTGATATGATTGATTAATATTGATACAAACGTTAATACTTTTATCACAATTTAAGTATTTAACATAAAAAAAACATGGATACAAAGTGACTTTACCGATACAGGACTTAATGCATTCCCTCAAATATTAATCACTCACCAGCCCAAAAAGGAGGAACCCCACTTAATAAGATGTAAACAATCACCCCTGCACTCCAAACATCTGCTTCAGGACCATAATTTTTTCTCAAGATTTCTGGTGCAACATAATATGGGCTACCAACTACATCATGAAAAGATTCACCTGAAAAAAAAAAAAAAAAATTTAATCAAATTTATAGAAGAACCATGTATGAAGTCAAAAGATTGTAAACTATAAATACTTTTTTTTTCGAACAGAACAAGAAGAATGAATCAAAAGTATACCTGGCTTAAAGAAAACCGATAATCCAAAATCTATAGTTTTGAGAAGAGCGTCTTCCCTTTTATCCACAAAAAGAAAATTCTCAGGCTTCAAATCCCGATGCATAACACTCATAGAGTGACAAGCCTCCACAACTCCCACGATGGTTCTAGTAAGCTCCGCCGCTTTTCTTTCTGTGTAATGTCCACGCTGAATAATCCGATCAAAAAGCTCACCTCCGGCACACAATTCCATAACAAGATGAACAGCTACAGCATCTTCATACGCCCCTTTAATCGATATAACATTTCGATGTTCCGCTAGATGATGCATTATTTGAATTTCTCTTCTCACATCTTCTACATCCTCATCGGTCAATAACTTCCTTTTTGCGATTGATTTACAGGCGTAGAGCTCACCGGAAGCTTTTTCTATACAGAGAAACGTCGTCCCAAACTGCCCCTGTCCTAATTTCTTCCCCAAAGAGAAGAATTCCTTCAGGTTGCCGGTTTTTCTTTGCAAGACGGAATCTGTACGGAGTCCGGCACTTGATACCCTCTTCATCTGACCAGCTTTCTTGGGTTTCACTGGTTCTGTTTCTTGTTTCTTTCCAGTTTTCGGGATCGTTATGTGTTGTGGTGGTTTGTTTTGGACGGGTAATGGTGATTGGTGATCTGTAGCTTCATCTCCGTTAAAGGCTGCCGGAGGTTCATCAGGTGATCGGGTTCGCCACATTGTATCGGAAACTGATTGGATGAATCCATTCTTTAAAAAACTTGGTCCGACGCAAGTGTTCCCCATCTAGCAATCTCTTCTCAACGAACCCCTTTCCGATTTAAACATAGAGATCCAATTTCACTGCAGTTACTCGATAAAATGAAGATCTATTCAAAATCAAAAACCCAAAACGGATAATCATAATCTAAACTCACGCATGAATTACAATCGGCAAGCATAAAGAAATTAAAACAATATCGAAGTGATCAGAACGTATTTCTAGTCTATATGAACTACAAGTCTACAAATCGCCAGAATCGGATAAACTAAATTGACTGATACCAGATTTGAGTCAACGGGTACCTATGTAGAGCAAACTGAACATCAATTAACGATGAATGACAACAAGAATCGAAGAACTTCAATCATTCCATATACCCAAATGAAGAACGCCCAGAAAAATGGACGTGAACGAGGAATCGAAAGCTACTCAGGGAGATAAACAAAAAGAAACACAAAATCCCAGTTTCCTTCAAAATAAATTGTTACACAATCATATGGTAAAACAAAACGGATACTAACCAGCTAGGCGGAGAAAGGAGAAATGATGCTGACTTATTCCAGCGATTTTGTTTTCGTGGGATTTCTATTGGTTTAAGGAACCGCAGTTTGTTCGAATCATCGAGACTTTTATTCACACGGACACGGGAAATATGTTATATGGCTGCTTCTTCACTCTTCTCGGATTTGTCGATACCCGGAATTTGCGTCTGATTCTTTGGAATTTGGATTGTGGGAATGACGAGTCAAATGAGTTGTTGTTCTATTTTCCGTAGATTTTTTTCGTTGCCTTTTCTGGCTCTTTTTTGTTGAACGGAAAAGTGAATCTTAGAGCATGAAAAGTGTTTCATCCACCTCATCAAATTTTTTAGGTTATTTTATTCAATAAAATATATTTTTTATGTTGCTAATAAGTAATAACCAATATGTAATTATATATAGTTTTACATTTTTACAAGTCGTTTATCTTTTTATTGCACCTGCTACGCTACGAGTGTTGTACAAACAGCCCTACCTATAAGACCTCTTTTGGAGTAAAAATTAATGACTCCACGTATATCTTACTTTCTATTGGATATTTTTTAGAATATGTCACGCCGCTACTCGGACTCGAACCGAGATGCTCTAGCATTGCTTCCTAAGAGCAGCGTGTCTACCGATTTCACCATAGCGGCTTACTCGAACTAATAATAGCCTATTT